AGGTTTTTTTCGCTGGGAGATTTCTCGTTGGGGGTAATATTTGGAATTTTTAAGGGATAGGGATCATTCAATTTTGTGAAATTATCTGAACTATTTTCAGAAAATTGGGAAGAATCACTTGGGTTATAATCACTTTCATCTCCTAGGCTTTCATCTTGAGATTTCTGATCTGATTCACGTTCATCATCGTCAAGTTCTGGTGCATTTTTACCAATCAGCTGATCTCCATTATGACTTTTCCGGTCTCCATTTTCTATGGGCAAAGTTGGGAGCTCAGGGACAGCTAATGGTTGAAATCTCAAGCCTGGACTATTCTCCGTCAGTAGCTTTCGGCATTTCTCGACATTATCCGTAATGTTAAATCTACCAGGCGCGTAGCTACATTGTCAGCTTTACGGAAACTACCGGGGATGATTGAGTGTCTTCTATCGTGAAGTTTTAAATTCAATCCGTCTGAGCAGTTTAACTAAAAATTGAAAATATCAACCCTTGTCTTGTATTATAAAAATGTTATAGATCACTGAGATCTGCCAGAAAAACGGTTCTTCTGAAGCCAACTAGCAGAAAGGAATCAACAGCTAGAGTTCTCTTATATATATGTAGCTCCTTATTTGCTCCATTGAGATTGGATCTGAAGCAGTCCCTGTAAAGCTGTGTTAAAACTTCGTACTAGGGTTCATCAGCAATAAAATTAAAACAAAGTCGTGAACAATAAATACTGTGTATTGTATATAATATTATTATTATTATTGAAAAGATATTGGTGTCTAATTATTAGTCTCACTGATAGATTTGATAGAGCTCAATTTTAACTGCCCTTGCAATACTTTGGAATGACAACAATATAGCTTTGGCTTATTAAAGTGCAAAAATGTAGGAAGATCCAATATAAACTTTGGTATAAAAGCTGATATTCTAGTCTATGGTAGATAATCCAATAATAAAATTTCAGTACCGGTATACTTGCACATGAATATAAAACTGTTTTTTTGCAAGTTGTACACAAATAAAGTTCATAAAACAAGGATTCATTTCTCTAGTGATGTTTAGGAAAACCCCAAAGTGATAATACAATGTTTATAAAATTTTCTGTGAATTTGTCTTTGAAACAATTCTTCTTATTTTGAAGCTGACACATAATTCTCCTTTAAATGATAGCAACATCAAAACAATTTTCAAAATTCAACTAACAATAAAGTTTTTGGAGATGGGGAGGGGTGGGATTTGTCTTCTGATATATATGATGTGGCTTTTAAATCAAAATTAAAGTAAAAACAAATCTAATGCTACAGGCAGTGCTTTTGTGACATACGACAGACACTATGGTTCGTACATGGAAATAACACACACAAACATAGTTCATAACCATTTTGAATCACTTCCTTGACTTAACAAGTCGAATTTTGAAAAAGGCTACTGGTATATATAACAATTCAACCTAGCCTTCAAATCTCACCAGGTTTAGAAATGGCTTAAAATGTGATTTAAAGGCATTTGTTGAAATATAGCAGCCTTTTTAAAAAAACAATTTGACTTATCAAGTTGAGGAAGTGATTCCCAATGACTGTAAAGTGTTAACTGTTCCTATATGTTATTTCCATGTACGAACCATATTGAGAAGTTTTGTATGCTTCTGAAGTCATGGCTTAAATCCTCTCAACTTAATCACAGTTTTTAATCTAAGAAAATATGAAGTTTCATGTGTTTGTCTATCTCCTGCAGTTGATTAAAAATAAACCCACATAAACCGCAGGGATATTCTGAAACAGTTAATAATTCTTCTGTGTATTCTTTATGAGTTAATAAATGTCTTTTTAAATGATGACTAAGTGTAAATGGTCTGTTACAATATTTACACAGATGAGGTTTATAACCAGTGTGTATTCGTCTATGTCTCATATAGCTACTACGTCCATATAAAACCTTCTTACAGAATTCACATTCCACTGGTTTCTCTGGAACTTTAGGTACTGGAACTAACACACCATCTTGGAGAACAACTGGCTTAACATGTGTTTTCATGTGAGCCTGCAGATTTCCATTCCGATAGAACGTCTTTCCACAAAATTGACATCCGAATGACTTTTCACCTGTATGTATCACCATATGAGCTTGAAGGTTACTGTTCCTATTAAAAGAACGATCACACAACTTACAAGAAAAAGGTCGAAGTCCATTATGAGTTTCTAAATGAGTTTGTAAGTGACTGTTCAGTTTAAAACTATGACCACACACTCCACATTCATAAGGTTTCTCTTCACTATGACTTTTTAAATGAGTTTGTAGATTAGAATTTCTATTAAATGATTTACCACAGATTTTACAAGAAAAGGGTTTCACACCTGTGTGAGTGAACATGTGAGATTTTAAGTTACAACTGAGAGCGAATGTTTTAAAACATGTTTCACATTTGTACGGTCTCTCACCACTGTGGATTCTCATGTGTTTATGCAGATCACTATTTCTATAGAAATTTTTATTACAAATACCACAAATAAAGGGTTTATCTCCAGTATGAATTCTCTTATGTTCTGATAAGGAACAACTTCTATTAAAAGACTTACCACAGATATCACATTTGAATGGTCTGTCGTTGGTGTGAATTCTTGCATGTTTAGTCAAATCACTGTTTCTAGCAAATCCTTTTGCACACACCTTACACTTGTGAGGTTTTTTATCGCTGGGAGATTTCTCGTTGGGGGTAATATTTGGAATTTTTAAGGGATAGGGATCATTCAATTTTGTGAAATTATCTGAACTATTTTCAGAAAATTGGGAAGAATCACTTGGGTTATAATCACTTTCATCTCCTAGGCTTTCATCTTGAGATTTCTGATCTGATTCACGTTCATCATCGTCAAGTTCTGGTGCATTTTTACCAATCAGCTGATCTCCATTATGACTTTTCCGGTCTCCATTTTCTATGGGCAAAGTTGGGAGCTCAGGGACAGCTAATGGTTGAAATCTCAAGCCTGGAGTATGGTTAGATTCTATCGAATTATTTTCAGAAGGATATCGTTGTATTTCTGGGAAGACTATGGAAGACTGTGATGGAAAATTTGACGTTCCAGCAGATCTGTTGATGTCGTAAGATTTTTTGAAGGTTGGGAAGAGAACACCCGAGTCTTCCATAGTTCAGTTTCTGATTTAAACTAATTTCTGTAGTGTAGTGTCATAGCTCAATTCATTATCTGCAAAAATAATTAAATAAATAGTGAAAATTAGTATGAAATTGGCCTATGCAGTATTGGATGAGCTCAAAATTGAACTTTTTCTGTTATTGCACGAATATTGAAATAAAATCTTCAACTATGTCACTGTGTGCCATTTGTCAAGCTGAGAATAGAAGAGGTAGGGTGTCCTATCTCGCACAGCACATCACACAAGACACTGTCTATTCAATATTTACAATATCAATGACCACCAAGTTACAAATGAATGCTAAACATCAAGACACCCAGAAAAATTTTATGAAGTGCTTTTGGTCAAATGGGTCATCTTTTAATAAAATTTTAATAATTAAGACACTATAAGCTCTTACAATTTGCATAACGAGGTACATGGTCAATGTTGGGAACCAGGAAAACTGAAAATCCTTTAAAACCAAGCCCAGGGGAGATAATCTGTTTGACATAAGTGGAGAAAGGGACAAAATCGAGACAAATTGGATGATTTTCAGACAAAACAGGCACTTATTCAGTGTGTGCATCAACTGTATTAAAGGTCCAAATATCAAAAATACACTTACCAAGAATCAAAGTTTATCAAAACGTAAATAAATTCGTTAAAAGATCAAATTTTCATCAACATCCGTCCCTCTTCCCAAACAAAGACAGGAAAGTCATTTCGCACAAAATTAAGACGTTTCGTCATTACGTTCTACCTACTTTTTGAGAGACGTTTCAATCCACCTTTACTAAAGTTTTCATAATAGTACAGAATCAAATTCGACGGATTTCTTTGAAATACAAGTCTTAATTGATTTAGACATTTCAACAACTAGATATTACCTGCATCGAAAGCTAGACATATAAATCGCTAATCAAAATAATAAGTTAATTTCGGTCTGAATTTGACGATTTAATTTGAGGTTACTTCCCTTTATGCGCAAAACTATACCAGTGACTAATCTCTGACAATAGGCCTACTGATCAAAAACAAACATTATGTTATCTACAATAAGGAGTCTTATATGCTTACAATATTTCCAGTTGTTTGAATGGAACAATAAATGGAAAAACCCAAGATTGTGAGAGAGAAGAATCAGTAATTTCCTCCATAGCCCACTGCGGTCTTATTGTCAGTCTCCACTAGACATATCAGGAACAGAAAAGTAGGACGTAAAATCCATTTTATCAAGAGTCGTGGCTATTCGCACCGGGACGGTACAAAAGTGGGCATAACAAACGGCCATCCCTACCTAACCCTAACAAAGCAACTTAATATCATTCTTGACAATCAAAATGGCTTCACGCTTTAATAAAACCCCAAAAACTAGCGCGCCTATTGTGTCTTTTCTTATCCTACCGTTGTTAGCAGCCATAGAGAAAACGCATCGTGACGGTTATATCTAGATATAAATGTGCAAGAGGTAAAATTTCCCTCATTGCACACTGCATGTCGTTGGCGTTGGCCGTCTTCAACAGCCTATATTTCTATATTTAGTTGTAGCATATCATTCGACAACAAGGGCCTGAGGCCTTTGAGGTCGCAATAAGATTAGGCTACCCTCAGAAAGCATTAAGACGTAATCCTCCATTATAGAATGACGCAATTAGTATTAAGTAGATCTTGAAAGAGTGGATTAACAAAAACTTCTGGTCGAAATTTGCTTTCTAAAGAGGCATAACTTCTCTAATTGTACACTGCACAACGTCGCTCGCCATGAGCAACCCCTAAACTAACTACACAATCAATTCTCTCTCACTAGAGGTTACGCCTGCATGCCCGTGCCTGTGCTTTCATAACATTACTTAAACGCGAGATGTTATAACCTATAATTATACCTAACTAACTTTAAAATGGGCATTTCGTTTAACGCAGATTTTGAAACAGTCTACCACGAGATAAAGTTGTAGCCTATAATTCGCCAGGCGAGAAGTCTGACTAATTTCTATATTGTCGGTATGCCAGGAATCGCCGCCCATATGGCTTCTATTACTCTAAACCTGTGAAATTCACAAGAATTTTTATACCAGAAAGAAAAAAAGTAAACGATGTTTTTGTTCCCTTGGCGTTTGAGTTGGTCGAAATTGATATTCCAATGTTTCTATTTCATTCACTAGTAGATTTTTTTTTTGTAAACATCAGGGATACTGTCGTTATGGATATACATCGGGATTCGAGCCAGACAAAATTAGACCCTATCTTCAGGTTCCGGGATCAGACAAGAGTTTTCGGACTTGTTGAGAGGCTGCCGATAATGGAAGGCATGTTTTGATTCTAGTCCCAACAGCTTTAACAAACGATTTTTACGGCTAGTTGGCCTCATAGGCGACGCGGATAAGACCAAACAAAATTGTTTACGATCAGTTTGGAAGATGTCGCAATGGGTAGACATTTTGGGATTTAATCCGAACAATATTCTACCAACAAGCCCCGACCGATGATTTGGATGGTCGCCCCCGACGTGGATGAGATCAGAAAAGAGTTTGCGGACTAATGGGGAAGATTTCGCCGTGGACAGACATGTTTGACCTTATCCTTTGTCCAGACAGGTGATTTGTAGGCCCGATATGATGAGGATAAGGTCAGAGTATATTTTAATAGTTGGGATTCGTACCGTCCCAAATGAAGATTGATTTATCTCGTGTGAGGAGGTACTGATTATCATGGAAAGATCAGCGAGGTACCGACTGGTCAGGGACCAACTCACAGACAAGAGTTACATCGATATGTAGCTATCTTTTTACTGGTTCGAAACTTTCTGACTGAATCAATCTTCTTTAAGTTGATGTTAACGAAATCTCACAGCTCTTGTAGCTCAGGTAAAAGTCAGAAATATTTTAACCAGCCGTAAAGCGTCAAACTTAAGGTAAGTTTTGAACGGAGTCAGCCAGTCGCAGACAATATGTAAAAACAATGGCATTTTGATGAAAAGTCAAGTCCAAATGCAGTCCTTGGTCGAGTCAAGAAGCAGTACAGATATTCTGTGCACATAAATCTGATCATCAAGGGTGTTCTGAAAACCATATTTGATGGTGATGATTATATCTTGATGTAGTTTTTAAAAAGGCAGCAGTCACGCTAGACAATGATGTCAGAGGCGGATCAGCACCGAAAGCAAGTTCGTCGGGCAAAAATCTCATAACTAGGTTAGAAATTCGGGCAATTTCAGATATTTCGCCCCCCCTCAAATGATGCCAGTCGCCTCTCATGGCTGGTCCAGTCCCTTTCCACTTCCGGCTACTCATGCGCATTAAACGTTTGCTTGGATAAACAGTATTGTGGTAGGATAAATATGGCCTACATATTTTTTTTAATAAAGATAGTCACTTTTTAATATTTATATCAGATCGGTTGCCAAGCACCAAATCCTTGGAAACATAAAAGATAAAATAATCACTCAGATTATGCAGGGATTATTTCTTGTCGCGTAATGTTTACTCATCGATTTAGTTGATTGGATTAAATAGGCTTATTTACCCATAAATCAGCACGTTCTTATCTAATTTTTACTTTACGGTGTCAACTCGGGACAAAATTATACGAAATTTTATGAATTTATATCATTTTAGTTTATTTATTGCTTCATAATCTGGTTAATTTTTAAATATTGTGTCTATATAAAGGATATATTAGCCACGACATGCACAACTCTTGCTTTAATTACTTTATTAACACCGCAACGTGTTGATTTCATGTTTGTTGTCGTGTTCGTTGGTCATTGACTGTTTGTAATGAACATGAACATGGACATAGAAATATTTCGTCAACCTCGAATCCCCACACTAATCTATATGTCTTGCTAGACCTGTCGAGTCAAATCTTGAATACCCTTTTGAAACTGTTCAGCCTTTCTTAGGACAGACTAATTAAAATTAGACAAAACTTTCGTTCCGTTTATTATTAGCTTTTATTTTTAATTAAGCCACTTCAGTGATGATCTAAAGATGGCCTTTTTGACTATTCGTCCGTTTGATAACCCCGCCAGCCAATCAAATTTCTGCCCTCTCCAACGCTGGGATTTTGTGACGCGAACAAAAGTTGAATTCTGAGAAGTATTAAACAGTGAATGTACCTTATATGTTCTCATCACAAACTCCGTGAATAAAACTGACGTCCATAACAATTCATTTCAAAATGGCAGCGTCATTGTTGGTGATCTTGGGTGGTTAAGGTTTTCTGCCTTGAAACTGTTTAGTCAATCTGATGGCTGGGAAAACAGATCATTATTTCTTTACAATAATATTTAGCTTTTCAGATAAATCAGCATTTAAACCAAGTGAAATGACTGGAGGCGAACAGGTGGAACAATCTCAACAGCGGTTTCTGTCAAACATCATCGAGACAACGTTCGAAAACGCAGCTTCTTTCGTTCGTAATGTCTCCCTCAAAAAAGAAATGAAAACAGTGATGGAAAGAATACTTTTAACGAATTAATTTAACATGTAAGTGAGCTGCCATTTAATACTGGTTTATTTTTCTTACAAATTCACTTGCAGAAGAAAATGGCGCCC